GAAGGAAGGAAGGAAGGAAGGAAGGAAGGAAGGAAGGAAGGAAGGAAGCCTTTAGAGGATGTTATGTTGCATAAACAGTAGAATAAAGTGTGTATTCAACAATAGCACTAATTGGGTCCAGTTGGGCCAAAACATGCCCATATCATGACATTTAGGCCTCTATGCTTCACAGCTAGAGGTTCTGATTGAGGAACTCTATATTTTATTTATACAAATCCTGACCTCTGTTCTAATTTCCAAATAATTGGAATTTGAGACTTGGGGTACAAACTTTATACTGACCGTTTTGACTGTTTTGAGGTGGAGTTAATCAAATAATAAGCAGCACCCAGACTCATTTAGAAAAGAACATTTATAAAAAATAAACACCAATAAAAATTATTAAAACTCAGAGGCTATTAATAAACTACAACCCATTACAACAACAAAAAAAACGCTGAGAACAACAAAGAGAATAAAACTAATCTAGCTCCGCTTGTTTGCTCCCAAAGCTTTTTAGGAATGTGTCACTGCCCTTTGCTGCCCCACCCTACAGAGCAGACAAACCAGGAACAGGTGAATCCTGGTTGAACTGAACAGGTATATGGTTAAACTAACAGTAATGCAAGGAAACAAACTGAAATTTGCTTCATCAGACTGGAAGGACGTCCAGTCCCTCTGCTTCCTAAGAACCTCCCCCAAAATACCCCTGACACAATCACAACAAGGAGCACAAACAACCCTGGTCTGTCACAACATTGTACGTAACAATTTTAATAACCACGTTTCACCAACTGATGGGGAAACTACACATCCATTATTTTATTAAATACCCTTTCCTCATAGAATAGTTTTTGTACAGTGAATTATTGATTTAAAATAATTTCTACATCTCCTTAAATCCCTTTCCATCCTCATTCACTGCTTCAGGCTCCCTCTGATGTCCTCTTTCCATGGTGTTCACTGTCACTTCGAACATCCCCAAAAACTGAATGAAGTTTAATGAGCAAAACACAGAGTAACAATGTGAAACGTGTGCTTATAATGCAACATATTTCTGTGTTATTTTAGCCATTTCATTGGGAATTAAAGTGAGGGGTCTTCATTTCATACTCAACACAAAATACACTGAAATTGTTTCATGACATTTTCTAGTTTATGAATATGAATTTCTCTATATTGTTACAATCAATGTAAAAAATCCCTAAAATGTTGGAAAAACACTCAGATTATTGCATGTTGGGGACCCTATCTGTCAATCCCTTTTAACCAACCTGTAATATGATTCTTTCTGCAGGAACCTTCTTGCGGCCACTTGCAGCACCAGCAGCTCCAACTGCTCCTTGAGCAGATGTCCACAGACATAAGAAAGTAGTGCCTCGTGCGAGTACTCTGTGAAACACAGTCAGAAGTTAACATTGGCTAAAAAAATTATTTGTCTTAGGTTTCATTCTAATCATGAGAAACCTAATAATGAAAGGAAAGTAGGATGTTGTTTTCCTCACCCTCTGAAGTCAAACAGAGGCATAGAGACTTTGCCTAAAAACTCTGGGGCTTTCCGCTGTTTGTTGGAATCTGGTGAGCCACTGGCATTCTGGTTGAGCACCCCAAATAGACTCAGAGTCAGCGTGGACTCCAGAGGGAGCACGGCTACTGCGATGGGGAAAATGATCCTTGGAGAGACAACACACCACAGCACATCAGTGAAAAAACTGCAGCATCTATAAACTACTGGGGAGAAGAAAAAACGGGAGGACTTACAGCTCATCCCATTTGATGTGGTAAAAAAAGCTTTTATATGTGCCAACTCTCCTGGAATGAACTGGTTTGAACAGGTTCTTCCCATTGTGGGTGAGGGAACACATCAGGAAGTACTTCTCATAACTAAAAACAAAAAAACAACAACAAAAACAATGCTAAAGTGCACTGACTCAAAGTGATAATTTTAAATGGTGGAGCAACCCCTAGAATATTTTTATCAGAGTGTGCTGCTCCAAAGTAAGTAAGATCGGCCCACTCAGGCCCATGGGTCTAATCAGACTAATTAAAACAGAGGAGAGATCCTGAGTGGGTGGATCTTAGCATCATCTCAAGATAAGTTAATTTTTCACATACAGTGCTTTGGGAAAATATTCCCACACTATGAACAATTCTATTTCACATTATCCCACCTTCCTAAACGTAACCTTAAGTTTATAATGTATAGACTTTGCATTACAGACTAAGTCATCTGTCACAAACTAAATGCTATAAATTTGGTCTCATCTAGGATTTATTTAGATTAAAGGTATAGAGGACTATCTTTAATTTCCAGGTGGATCATCAAAATAAGTGTCCCTCCTAATTGTCAATCATTCTGGTGATATGTTTACGTAAGGCCGTCCTACGTGCTCGTCCAGTTAGTTATTTTTTTCTGCGCATGCGCACTTTCAGCCACATGTGTGTGGTGAGCTACGGCTTCACACAGTCATTGCAGCTCACCTTTCTCACAGCGGTTCTTTGAAAATGGCAAAGGGTCGTAAGAGAAAAAGTGTCTATGAAGTGTATGAGAAGAAAAGAAAGGCCTCAGAGGAGGCAGATATATCCCAGAATGCTTTGCACAGAGAGCTCTCCTCGCAAAAGCATTCTGGGAGTTGTTGTCATAGCGTCACCATAGCCTGTTGCTACCAGACAGGGGTGAACAAAGATCGAGCAGGCTGCACGCGGTGAAGGAGTAGGAGTTACGTGATCAACGGGGAGCAACAAGCTGTGATCATCCGTCCCAACGGTCAGTTAACTGAGTTTAGTATAAAGTCCACTATATAGTCACACAGTAAGCTAAGCTTGTATGAGCTATGAGACCAACACATTTTAAACAGGTTGGGCATGAGGAAAAATGGGCTCATGCACGCTCTTGCATGTGGATTTTTTTTAAGTACAGAGGGAGGGTCTTTTAAAAAATCCTCTACAATACATTTAATGGATTAATAATCGAAAGACCAAAGGCTCCTTATAGATTTAACACAGAATTTTAAACCAAGTGAAGCTTAAACTTTTCCCTTTGAGGACTTCAGGATAGAGCTTACTGAGGGAGAAAAAAGGTTTTTCATCCTGATTGTAGGAACAGTTCCTAACTGTATTTCTAAATGGGATGCAATAATATTCATGATGAAGCATTTATGCTGTTTCCATCAGTCTAAAAATAAACTTGCTTTAAGCAATGACAGATCCATTCATTTGAATTTGTAGAAAATAAACAAGGAAATTTGATGCATATTTATTCCACAACAAGCTTGATGGACTGCTTCGTGCCATCTGTGTTGGCAGCCTCACACTACTTCTGTTGGCTCGCAAGCTGGCAGTGTGGTGAGGCTACAGATGGATGACACACAAGCCACAACAACGCTAAACACTTCGACCTCAATAGGGAGGCATTATAGTAACAGAACACATATGAACGGCTGCTCGTCTGTGCAGGGAAGGAGCTGAGCTCAGCGTGTGGCGCTCTGGCCTTTGGGGGGGAGGGGGGCAAAATGCTGCATACTTTTTAAGGCATCTTTGGAACGGCTGTCAGTGGGACCATATTTTCTCCTGCCTTAAAATAGCTGTTGTAAGATGAGGCACTCTCGAGTAAAAAGGCATGTTTTAGCAGTTTGTCTTAAGGAAAAAAAAACCCTGAAAGGTGACAGGAAAAATACCTTAGAGGGGAGTTAAAAAAGCTGCTTCCATCCCAAAGTCAGGTACATAGCAGATTTCTTATTAAAAGAGGGCTACAGTATATAATCCCCATGCAAAAGGAGGGAAAAAAGTTTTCAGGATCCTGGTCACCTATGTGTAACAGAGCTGTGAGTGGAAAATTAGGATCAGATATGCTGCAGACGCTCTCAATGAGACAGGATATCAGGTATTGGGTGAAACTAGACACTTGCATGGAAAATAAGACAAGAAGCAGGATCAGGGCTGTTTGTTTACTGCAGAGAAAGCTCAGCTCCAGAGACCAGCCAATAACTGTTTCAACAAAACAAAGAAACACTGAGCTTTTCACTAAAAGCTGACCTAATAAATAATCAGGATTAATATATACATTGTATATACCGTAAATTCTCTAATATAGGCCCGGGCCTTTATTTCACTCAAGTGCATCGCGGACCAGGCCTTTATTGGATAGAGGCCAGTATTAGAGACAGGCCTCTATTGCTATTTGAGCAAAACAGACTACCAGTGGAATGAATAAAAATGAGATTTTGTGTCTATTTGAACCTATAAAACACTAGGTTCATTTATTGAAAAAGTACAGTTACCATGTCTCGCTTGGTTTGAAGTAAAAAAAAAAATAAAAATCCTCCAATTCTGTTTAATTCTCCTCCTCAGTTTCCTCCTCCTCTTCATCTCTCCCTTTAATCTCCTCATCACTCGCGCTCCTCCTCATGTTGTGCTGCGTGTCTGTTCTCTTCCTCGCGCAGACGGGCAGCAGTCGGCCTGTCGTCCAGCTGCGCAGGGCTGTGGTACTTGTATGTTACTTACTACCACAAGTATAATGTTGAGGTATGCCCAGAAAAAACGTTTATAGCCCCGGCCTGTATTAGAGACCGGCCATTATTTACCTCCTCTGACAGCGAGACCGGCCATTATTAGAGACCCGGCCGCTATTGGAATACAGGCCAATATTAGAGAATTTACGGTATATACATTGTATATAGATATATATACATTGTATATATATATATACACACATATATATATATATATATATACACATTGTATATATAGAAAAAGAGATGATTGATGGTTAGGAATACAAACGATAAAAATCTGGGATAACCACCAAGGCAGACTGTAGAATGAAAAGGATAAATAAGTTACTGTTGTGTATTTTACCTGCTGACCCAGGGGCCCGGGATGCCGTGCAACGCAAACAGAGTAAACTGAAGGTGGTCTGTGGTGCCAGAAGCTTCTTTGCTGCTCCTTCCCTCCACAGCCCCTCCTTCATCTGCAGGTAAGCTAAAGGAAGGTGATGGCGGGCAGAAGGAGCGCAGGTAGAGCTTCACCAGGTCGTAGACAGCTTTTGTTAGTAAGGACATGCTCTCCTCCACGGGACTGCAGCCAGCTGACGAGGGGTCAGGATCGAATCAGTGTGAGACTTTTGCCATGTAGGGATAATAGCATAATGCCTTGCAACACCCATTCATACACCTTGAACTCTTAACTCTCTCAAAAAACTTTGAGAGGGAAGGCAACTCTATTTACAGAGTAAAAAGAGATGGCTGAAAATGTCCAACATAATTATTCTTTTTTTTATTCTTTTTAAAATACTGAAAGGACAGTAAATCTTTTTTAATGATTACAATGTTAAAAAAAAAGTGAAAAAGCACAAGAGGTATGAATACCTTGCAAGGCATTGAACTTAAGTTTTACATGGAGTGAAATAATGTGTTTAACAACAGATACATTTTTACAGCATGCAGTGAGAGCAGGTTATGTGTGACTTTATGTATGCATGTAACTTACTATTTGATGACTGACCAGGTGATGTTGACCCCAACTAGAAAGCAATGCATGATGGTCTTAGAAATGACATGATCTTATCTCAACACAAGTGAATGTGTAAACCACATGGCCCTATGAAGAGCCCACCTTAGGCGAGCGTGTCCTGGCTAGATTGACAGAGTGACGCAGTCTCTTAATGGCTCCTGTGATGGACGGCGGCTCCACCTCATCCAAAGCGCAGCACAGGTTTTTTACCGTCTGGACCACGCGCTCCACTGTCTTGTACTGGGTACTCTGTACAAATAATACAGAACAAACAGAAGAAGCTTTCAATTTGTTTCTTGTTTTAACTAGAAAGGGGCTTAACTGTCCTCACAGTTAGCAAATTTGGCGCCCCGAAACAGGATGTTATCTCAGTTTAAAAAACTTTGCCGTTTACTTGTATAGTTACATAAAATACTGTTAAAAGGGTTTTACACATCACTGTTTCTGGATATCTAACAAAATCTTCCAATTTTTCTTTCCTCACAGTTTGGTGGAAAAGAAATATAAAAAAGATAAAAATGTCCAATTGTTTATTAAAGCTTGTAGAGGAGGAACCTGCACCTCATTTTCTAAGCAGACGTTGACTTGGGTGTGGTAGCCTTCCAAATAGTCAGCAAGACCTTGTCTGCAAAAATATAAAGATTATTAGCTTAAAATAGTTTAGCTTTTTTTTCTCAAAAAGTGAGGACGTCTTGTACCTGGTTACATTCTCCCTAAAAGGCCGATCCACATTGCTAAGGTGCTTCTCCAGGTCGATTCGAGAGTTGTCATCTTCTGACTACAAAAATAACAATTAAAAGACAGATTAAACAAAAACAAGTATATCATTATAACAGACAGTCAAGGTAAAATGTCACCAAATGCAGACCAGATTTTATTAGTGTGAAGCAACGAGAAAAAATGTAATCCTTATGTTTCAGGTGACTAAAAGAGAAACATGTTAAACTAACTTACACTTCGTGCCAAGTCCCGCTTCATGGTTGAGTGAGAAAGCAGCTGTAATGTGATCTCATTCTCCCACTTCCGGCAGTTCTGAATATACTCATGGCTGCCCAGGCTGTGTTTACTGTGGCACAGGGTGGCAGAGATCCAGCGTGAGAGATATCACAATTACACAGTAACAGTGTGATCACACTGACACAAGCGACAACACAGAGGAATGCTGCCAAAAAAGATTTTCATGGCCAAAAAATAAGAGAAACAAATACTACTTTATTTGTGCCAACTAAAATAAGGAAAACAGGAAAATCGGCACATATAATGATGCTATGTGGTTCCCGAACTACAGAAAATGCACCACTGATGGTACTTGGCCTGAAGATCAAAAACATCAGGAGAACTAAAAACATGGTCCATCGTCTCTTTAGGGTAGCGAGTTTAGCATGAGAGCCTGGTGACTGAGGAGCAGCAGGCCAGAGAAATGCTAATGGAGATTTGGAAAAACAGAGATCGAAACGGTTTCAGATCCAAACAAACAGCTAGTGTGTGAGCTATTTGGATTTCAGACTAAATGAACTGTATCGTCATAATTTCTATGCAAATTATTCATAAAAATCTATTACTGTGACAGGTCTAGATATAAACATTTCATTTTTAGCCATGTCGCTTATTACACATCGTCCTGCCAACATGCATGAGCATCAGAAAATAACTTGGTAAAGAAAGACCTGAGAGAATTGCAGGCTAGAGCGCTATAATGATGGTTGTTTTGCTAATCGATTAATCAGTTATTTATTTGTCGACTATATAATTAGAAAAAGGTGCAGCACAGGAGGTTTTATGTTTTTACAGAATTTGAACTAGTTGAAGATACAACTACGCAGCTGGAGGAGTTCTGGTTCGACCATATTTAGAGGCAAAAAGGATTTTTTTTATTTAAAATACATTTTTTAGTTTTTAGTTTTGGCGTAATTACTGCTCTGAGTTGGTTGTTTTTTTTCAGCAAAAGTCATGATTTGGAGTCTGTATATTCTCCACCTAACATTAAATCAATCATTAAATTAGTTTAAGATTATTTATAATTGATTAATGATTAAATGATTGTGTCAATTTTAGTTACAGCAACATCTAACTCCCCTTTGGAATTAATGAAGTATTACTGAGCATTGAAGTGACAAATACATACATCCGGTTTGCAATATTGGCCCATGACTCATTCTGACCATTTATAGAGCTATTCAACACAGTAATTGAAATCAAATGTTGAAAATGTATTTATTTCTAATCTGGAAAATCCTTATTTAAACCACTATTTTTAATAAAATAAAGTTTACCCTTCTGGTGTTGATTTTGGGTTGCTTTAAAAACAGACAAATTGGATTTCTAAACTATCTGCTGTTTTAAACTCTTTCTGATTAACTTCAGTTCCCAAACATCTGATCCAGGCTGAACTGTGATGTGTTTTTTTTTTGTTTAACCATTTTTATTTGTACCTGGTTCATCTGTTTTTAATAATCATATCAGTTCCGCTTTAGTTAAATATCACTAGCCTAGTTAAAGAGTTATTGACCAACATATGTTAAATTTAGATTGAATAGAATTTGTTCGGAAATTCTTACATATTAAGAGAAGTTGAATTAATGTCATACATGTTCAGTTTTTGGTTTAAAAAGCTCTGATCACTCTTTCATCCGTTGTCTTTATACTGCAGCCATATTGGACTGGTTTTCACAGTGTGATACATAGTCATTTTATTTAATATAAAATAAGATAAATGCTTAATGCTTTTAAACAATGTTTAAAAAACTATAAAAGTTCTCTTAAAAATGTTTTGGAACATAAGCGGTTGGACAAGACAATGTTTTCATGCTAATATAAAGCTCTTCCACCTTCTTAAAATCCACTGGCTCCATCTGTTATAAAAACAGCAGCACTAGTGACTAACTTCATAGAAATCCAGGGACATGAGTGATCAAAGCAGTTAATGAAAAACTGTAGGAACTTTAAACAGGTTTCTGAGGATTCATCAATACAGGAAGCAGGAAAAGAGTCAGTGATAAAAGGCACCGCAAGATTAATGGAACTGTTTAGAATTACATTGGATGTTGGTTAATTTTCCCCTTTTCCTGCTTTGCCTTTAGTGGGTCTCAGAGAAAATATGGGTAATAATCATTTTCAGAGCAAATATGAATACATTAATTAAGGCTCAACTAATAAAAACACCAAAAGCCAGAAAGATGAATTGTTCAAACTGATCCCAGGCGGGAAAAAGGAGGGAATTTTGCAAAACATTAAAAATTAAAACCCTGTAAACCCTAATAAAAGGAGGGGGGGTTACTTTGGAAATACTCACTTCTGCAGGACTTCGTCCCGGCCACAGACTTTAAGCAAATAACTGGAAAAGTCTACCTGGTCCAGTTCGTCATGAACCCAGCAGAGAGTCTGACTGATCAACAGCTCTACTGGAGAACTCACTGGAGAGGAGAGAAAGGGAAGATATACAAGTCAAAGGCATTAAGAAGATTTTTTTTTTTTATGTTACTGAGCATAAACACAGAAGGACCCATGTGTATTACATCAGATGTGCTAGCTCTGGCCACACACCAATATTACACCTGTTATAAACCCTGGATCATAGAAATGTACATATCATATTAAACAATAAGATTACAGCATCAATTTCCATGAGTTTATTCTTAATATAAGTTGATTTGAAAAATGAAAAATAAAAAATTATAATATATGCAAGAGTTCTGCTCCGGGAGAAATGAGACATTACAACTTGCAGACGTGACTTTTTTCACATTAAAATAAATAAAAAGTAGCCTAATACATGCAATGTGTGCATATTGGCCGTCATCCATCTTGCATAAGCATAAAAATATATATTTTGGGGAATATAAACACAAGGATGTGTAGAATTACTTTATTAATTTATGCGAATCATTTCGACACGAAACTGCTGAAAATGTATAGAAGTGAGGCTCTGTGGGCTCAGAAGGCAGTTCTGGCTGCCCAGCAAAAGGAAAAAAAAAAAAAAGAGTACTAAGATTTGGGTTTCTGAATCAGGGATATTCTATCGTTTTTGCACCAATCAGAGCAAACCTGACTTATCGGAGAAGAAGAAAAAAAAGTCACACAGAGCATCGTGCTGCGCGGTGAACAGTTGAGTCATCAGCTATGTGCTGGTTGGATAACAGGGCTGTTAAAAAGCGATGAGTTTATTATTCTGGAAGCCTAGAAATAATATGGACCACCACAAATTCTTCTCCCTATTGGATTTAAGCCTATGCTGCAGTGATGAATGATGCACTAAATAAAGACATTAGCCTCATTTTGTTTCTTTTTTTTCCCTAAGGACACAGGCATTTAAATATATTTATCCTCTTAAATTTCCTGATGTTCTCATTATAAAACTGACTTCATGGTGATTTTTTAAAACTGCTATTAAAGAGTAGATCGTGTGTCAGAGCAGCTGATTTTGTTTATTACATAATGCCACTTTGCACATACAGAGTTCAGCAGGCTGAGGTGATTTGTAATCGCGCTTATATAGATGGGATGCTCATTTTGTTTATATATAATTATTTAGTAGGCCTATAGCAATGAAAAAAGGAACTGTTTTCCATTTCTCTCTATTATGTAATGAAATAAAAAAACAGCATTTTCTGATAATATTGGTTTTAAGTTAAAAAAATAAATGAAGGGATGATAGAAACATTTACAATTGTACAGACATTGTCTAATGGGTATGATTTACAGTTGATGTTGGCGTTTATTCTAAGTGCTGCATAGATTTTCTTGACTGCTGAGAATGTGCAAGCAGTGCATGATTTCGCAAGCGTGCAGCATTGGTCTCCGGCCACCCCTGGTTCACTTGATTTTCCAAGCTGGCTGTTAGAGGCCTTGAAGAATCCTCAGTGACTCTATGACGAGCAGAACTAATAAAGTACTAATACATTCCTGAGAATATGCTTGTTCATTTGAAAAATATTTGAATCCAAATCAATATACAAACAAGTAAATGTGATATGTAGAATAAACAAAACAAAATGAATATATCATAATTTTTAGCAGTTGTTTTCTTGTTCTTGGTAGATCATGGTAAAGATTGATATAGATCATAGTAAAGATTCAACGTAAAATTTTTGTGTTAATAAAGAACTTTGAGTCTTGTACTAGTGCCTGTCCTGAATTAGACCAGGAAAGATCAGATGTTTGGCTGATAGCACAAAAAATAACAAAAACACCCAAAGCAAAATTTGACAGCTATAAATGTTCCATTAATACTGGCTTATGTGTGAAAGCTGCCAAAATAAGCACAAAGAATTTTAATTGCTGAAATGTTGATTTTTTTTTATGTGCGAAACATAACATCTATCCAACTTTAGAATAACATACCAGGTTATATTAGACAAATATTGTTCATCAGAAATATATGTGTTCTTAGGACTTCTGTGTAATCCCACTGACTGAGAGGGAGGAGAGCTCAGCATCCACACAGCAGAAGACTGGGAGCGGAGCGCTGCTGATAATCCACAAACTCAGACAAACAGGCTCAGAGGCAAAGAGGGATAGAGAGTTCGCAGCCTGGAACATTTGGGCTTTGGACTCGGCATCTCTGCTCGGGTTACTTCACAGGCAAACAGCAGAGACCACCTCTGACTCCAGCATCAACAGACCACCACCCTTCAGAGGAATGGATTTTTCTCTCTGCTATAGAACTAGCAGCAGTTCTGCTAACAATACAGATCAATACACGGGTGTTTTAAACTAAAGTTTGACCAAGCCTACCTCTAGCAGCTATAAAACAGGTTTGCTTTTATGGTTTAAGCAAGATGAGAGGGTGAGTAAAACCAGAAGTTACTTAATATGTGATAAATTAACCAGACAAACAGTTTTAAAGACGTGGATGCAGAGATGGAAGCAGACACAAGCAAACAGACAACAAGAACCTGCAGCTATGTTTACAATTCAAAATCGGACATCTATGCTGATGAATTGCTTTTTTTTAACCTTTCACTGGAAAATGCAAAACCAGAACAAATTGAACAAATTATACTTTTAGAAATGCTCGTATTTCAATCATGCCTTCTGGGAGTTTACCTGAATAAAGTGAAACTAAAAACAACCTTGCAAACAAACACAATCTGAACTAATTCCACATAAAAGGGATAAAGTTAAAATAATTTCCCTAAGTAAAAACATGACCTATAAAGAAAAACTAACTAGTTATTGTTTTCAAATAGCTGCTATTGTAATAGATTTTATTTCCTTTAAATAAAAAGTTGAAAAATTGAGCCAAGACTTGAAAATAAAGTTACTCTCAAACACTCCAGCACTTTAAATTAGAGGGTAAAACCTCATATCATGTTCTATTTTAAAACTTGAGGGTTACTTAGGACGCCCAACAAGGACAAAAACAAAACCGTGTTTGTCCACTTGCATAGAACAGCTAAATGTGATATGAGCCATTTTCTGGGTAAATATTTTTCTGTTTTCAAAAATCCATTAAAAAAAAAATAAAATAAAATAAAAATTAACTTTGTTCAATTTTGACTTAGGCATAGGGCAGGGCGATATAGAAAAAAAGATTATCAATAAAAAAAAAATGCATACTGATCGATATCGATAATTATTGAAAAGATTTGAAACCATATTTTATGTGCAACTCTGCCTGGACTTTTTATGATATTGCTAAATGATTTAATTTTAATAAAGAACACAAACACAGACTTCCATTTAAATATTTATTTAACCAACTGTTAAAGAATTGTTTTAAAGAAAAATAACTTAAGAGACCTGAGTTATGTTATTAAATACTGACAAAGAATAAACTAAAGTGACCAGAAAAGTGACCAAAATAAATATAACAAATACATTAATAGAATACCCTATTTGGGTGGGAATAGTACACCACCAGCTTGTGGTAATTAAAAAGATTGTAGGACTAGGCTACCATGTAAACTTCACTCAACAAGAACAAAAACCCAAATCAACTCACCCTTTAGCCTAGCATTTCTATGGGGTATTATTTCTCACCCCTATTCTTCTAGAGGTGCTGCGGGCACCTCGTTATGGTTCAGCTTAGTTTCCTGCTTTTACCTGAGTTATTACTTTGAAGTTGCTGGCCCCTCAGCATTTTCTCTCAATTGTTAGAACTACGTGCCCCGAACTGAATGAATATATATATATATATATATATATATTCCTCCGAAGATTCCTCGGAGGAGAGCCGCGTCGGGGCCTACACAGCTCGTACTCCTGCGGGTGTGAGCAGCTGAGATGATAAAAAAAAGTTGGTTGTGTTATCAGACTTCGTTTTCACTGGTTCCCGACACATTTTACAGATGACTGTGGTTTGTTTTTTGTCCGACTTGCCATGACCGAAATACTGGCGAACACAAAAACCCTTCTTTGGAACAATTTCCTCCTCCTCTCCTGCTGCGACATCTTCATGTGCTCTGTGTTGTGGTTTGAGAGGGCGGCGCTTGGTGACGGCGTGCCTGGGTCCGCGATTGTGATTGGTTGGGAGGAAGTAGTGACTAGCATAAACCTACATGATAGGCTACAATGAGAAGGAAGGAAAACTGCTTTTCTTTATCGAACTTTTATCGACCCTGTTTTTTTCTATTGCGCCACACGTCTATCGATCGATATATATCATTATTGAATTATCGCCCAGCCCTACTTAGGCATACATCCTGTAAGGTTTGGCCACTAGGGGCACTAAATTTATAACTTTCATGTTTAGCGCACCTGGTGGCACTGTCACAAAAGTCAACAAACAGTCATTCGGCCAGCCTCCCGTGTCTTTTGATTGGGTACCGTGCTAGGCGCCCAGATTCAGCTCGGAGGACGTGAGAAACGCTGCTGCTTTCTGGAGAGCACCGCCGGGGCAGAACGGACCACGCCGCGTATAGGACCAGTGGTGGAGCTCCAGTGATCAGCTACTGGTTTGGATGGGGCATCTCGGTTAGCTTTTGTTTGTAGCCTGCTAGCTTTCTCTGCCTGCATTTTTCTTCTACTAAACATCAAAAGTAATAAAGATATATTACTGTATACTAGGAGCAAAGTGCTAACTTACCAGTCTAATAATTAAGTTGAGAAAAGAGAATCGGTTTTATATCCGGCTTCTTCTTTCAGCCTGTGCCAACGAATAAACTCCTTTCCAAGATCGACTCTTGTTTTAACTCGTACACGATCTCTTTCACGTTTTCTCTTTTTAGCCTCCTCAGAAGGTTTAAACTTTTTCCTTGCTGATGACATGACCACTAGTCCAGCAGGCGGAAAAATAGTAGAGGAAAAGCTCTAAGAACCGATATAACAACCTGTGGCTGTGGTGATATGTTCTTCCAGGTCACATGACGTGGCCAACGACTGTGCGCCTTCTCCCAACTTACATAGTCTCTATTTTAAGAGGGGACCCCCGCTCGTAGCATCAATAGTGTCAAGTACTGTATATTGGCCTGAGGAATCATTTACAATAACTCATATGCATCAACTATTTAGGTCACAGAGTCCACGGTGTGCCTTTAATAAATTCTGTTTACAAGGTAATATAAAAAAGGCAAACATATTAAGTCATAAGAGTGATGTACAACATTCTGAGTTCCATACAAAAATAACAAATTTAATAAAGATAATTTGCAATATCAGTAATATAAATATTTAAAACAGAAGCAGTATTGATATGTGTCGTCTTTATAAGAGGAGGGAAACTCCTATTTAATCTAAACACCCAAACAGTCACCTTTATTGCTACGGTGAAGAAGGATGGGGAGGAAGAACAAAGAAGGGAAAACAAATCACATAATTCTAGACTGTGCATTATATAATTCTTTCTAAAGTTGGAGTTTTAAGCAGATGAAACACTGATTATTATTCCATCTACTTCAGACAGTTGAACAGTGCCATACCCTCCTTAGGGACTCCTTCTTGTGTGCGAATGATAAAGAACATTATCTGCTTTGGCAGATTATCATCCTCTTTTTATTCTGAATAATCAAATATTTTAATACTGCCCACAGCTGCATCTAACAAAGATAACTGCTGCCATGTTACCCAACAAGTTAAAACAAACATACAGCCTTCCAGGATCTAATCAAAGCTGAATGTGTCTGAACAAACTCTAAGCTTTGCAATAAATCTTCTTCTTTAAGAGGAAATATTTCTGATAGTTCACAGCCTTTACAAAAAAAAAAACAAACTTAGAGCCAGTAGTCCTTGCTTTTTCTAAAAAAGCTATAAAAAAGCTGATAGTTTTGTTGTATCCCAAACATTTCTATATAGCAGCCAGTAGCACATAACCCAGCTTCTACATCATTGCTTTTCGTCTTCTCCATTACGCTTAAAATCATTGTTTTTATGCAACTTCTCCAAACTATTTCTAGAAATATGTCCTTGGCTTTTCTTTGTTATAAATTCATGTCTCATGTTTCAAATTCATGTTTCATTAGTGCACCGCCTTCCTCTCTCCTCTCCTCAGCCACAATATGTAAAGAATCCTCACATCCAGCAGCATTTTATGGCTCATGAAGATTTAATCTTTTCTGCAAGATCTGTATAAAAACTTGCACAAAGATCTTTGATTACTGCAGCTTATTTTTCTGCACTGTAACTTAACCGATAATATCTTAAAATCAGCCAGAGAAGGGAGGGTTCTATTGTCCTTTGCAAAAATAACAATTCTACACAATTAGGGACACAGTTGCAGCTCATACAAGTTGATATGAAAAAACTAAAGAAACTGTAAGAAGAGATCAAAAACAGAGATTTGAAAACCTCTGTTTGATAAAGTTAAATTAAAAAAAAGGATAAACAGAAAAAAAAATGCAGAATCAGACCCATTTCAATTGGATGTCTTCACTTCCCTTCATGAAGGCCAGAACTGAGGCCCATTGTTTCTAAGAGAGGATTTTTGTCCCATTAGACAAATGCAGACCTCAACAATGTGGGTCAACACATTGCTGAAGACAAAACTGCTCTACACTAAATAAAAACAAAAGAAACAGGGAAACTGATTTTAGCTAGAGAGTGGGGTAGTGATGTTTAGGTGGAAAGGGAAGCAAAGCTGGACAGACTGCAGCAATCCTAAAAGATGAATCAGGTGCACTGTAGATGGAGGAATATAGGGACTATAATTACTATGAGGTGTAGTCAGAGCTGGCCTTTTCAGAGAGGCCCATCAGAAACAGAGAGATTTTTATTACTAAGAATGTTAGCACAAGCAACGAATTATCAAAGTTACTTAAACCATTGGTACCTTCATCCTTTCTGCTAAAAATGCATCAAGCTAAAGAAGGAAATACAATAGAGTATGAAAACAGGTTACATAAATTAAGCGGTCACAGAGGTAGAGCAGGGAATTGGTTATTATTGTAGAGTTGAATATGAACAGTTTAAATAAACTCTGCTTGCTAACTAGGAGACCTCTGATCTCAATTGGCCACCTGAGGATTTAATTAGAGGCATTGGAGCAGGTTAGAATGTAGATACATGCCACACTTTTAAGATCTGCATTAGTAAGAGGTTTATAAACCCAAGTACATTTTATTTATCTGCCTCACAATTTTTGAAAAACACGATGAAGCACAGCAAACTTTGCTAAGGGTTGCACCTCAATGCAGTTTGAGGACTGATTGTCGAGAAAATGCATTTTTCCACAAAGAAACAACACAGCAGGAAAGATAAAGAACAAGAGTGAGGAGTTATTTGGCAGCTTGGCTTGTGCTTTCTTTCTAGCATCCCTAACTGGACATCTAAACTCCTCACAATTAAAGGGAAAAGGGTGAGAAAATGTCTCAAGATGGCTTCATCTCTGTATTAGGCATTCAGCATATCTGACAATGCATAAATATTGGCAAGTGTCACAATAACAACATCAAATTAGAGATTTTTTTGACATCTCTTGAAGACTTAACCAGCTTAGAACATTCAAATAATACATCATACCACATCCCAACATTTAACTTCTACTCATGCTCATTTTTATTTTCCTTAACTGATTCAAAGAAAGCTACTGGTTAAAATGTTGATTCATGCTAACTTGTGAGATGCTTACCATCACAGGTGAAAGTTACAGGCTGCTGAGATTCAGGGATTTCAATAGAAACCTTGACAGAGCAGTTGCTGTCGGTTCCACTTTCTCTCTGCGTGATGACGGGGCTTAGGACGAAGCCAGGGTTAGTTCCTATGTCGCTGTGAGGGAATTTGGAACGTAGGCTGGAAGAGAAAGAAAATCAACACATTTACTTTTAGATACATTTGTCTTCTTGAACAGCATGGAAAAAGCCCGCCTGGTGCATTAATCAGATGATATGGAATAGGCCTCTAGATAAATCATGGAAGAATTAAAATGTAAATACTTGAGAGCAGAATGTCCAGGTGAGGCAAATGGTTTGAAACCTAGCTTATCTGATCAAATATTAAGAAAGTTTTTCCTATGTCACATTTCCAAATGTTAATTGACCGCCCAGGATGTGGAGATGCTGTCAGACATAAGTGTTCATAGTGAAAGCACATGCAGTGAGCACGGTCTCATCAGAGCTCCACCCAAACCAAATACTGTGGGGAGAAATGCTGTGCAGAACCAGTGCACATGCATCTAGAAATTTGCCATTTGCAAACGCTTCAATAATTGAAGCAAAAAAAGTTTCTGCTATATTTCATCCTTTAATTTACTACAGACAAACTAATGTTTTATTTCTTATTTTCCCATTAGCACTGATGCTGCATTTTGATACTTGAACTGATTCAAGGTTGTGATTATTTACATATGGATTGCAAACAAAATGCTGGTTTCATGATTTATCGTTTTAGATTTTTACCTTTAGTTATCTGTTGATAAAATTAGCATTTTAAATTACAGATGGGAATTCAGAACTTTGTTAAAAATGTAAACAAAAGTTGTGGCTTTTTTATTATTTATTATTTTGATTTCTTCTTCTTCTGTCCGCTTATAATATATGTACATCCTCCCAATAGAAGGCAGCACTATGATTGATAGTGGCACTTTACAGCGACACAAACATGGTGAGCAGAACAATCCACGTGATGATCGTTTTGTGACTGAACTATATTAAGAGTTGGATGATCTCTCTCCACCACCTTCACTAGAGACAGAGGAAATGGGGGGAACAGAGGAAGGTTCTCTAGAAGATCCCACAACACTGAGTGTACCGGTTTGAGCTTCTGGCTTAGAGCTTATGGACACTGCTCTCTCCTCCCACATACAGTGGTTCTAATACAGAACATCCTCAAATATCCAAACCAAACATCCATATAATCAAGAATAAACCAATGTTATGTCTTCTGACCCATTGATACAAAGTGAATGCCAAATTATTTGGCACTACAAAGATAAGGCAAACTCCTTTCGGTCTAATTTTAATATATTTTCCATTTCATAGAAATATCAAAATGAATGTTTTTTTAAAGAGCTTTAGGGTCCCTTATACTAGACTAGAAAGATGATACAGACAGGTTTTATCCAATTTAATGCATTTAATATTTTCATTATTTGAATAATGTGAAATTTTCTTCTCCGATTGTAAGAAAATCTTTTAATTTATTGTTAGTCTCTAAGCGAATAGCCACGATAGAGCTGCTGATGCCAGTCCTGCTAAATCACACCCCTGCCTCAGCCAGTAGCAAAAACCGGATGCAGTAACTCCTTTTTAACCTAATGTGGGTGCCAAAGAGGCCATTTTAGACACAAAAGCAGGGCTAATGTGAAGTAAAATCTAAAAATAATGCCTGGAACATCTAATTATAGTTTAACATGCATTTAGGGATGAACTGTCCCTTAAAATGCATAAATATATAAAAACAAACAATATTAATTAAAAAATATTTCTGTATGAAAAAAATAACTTCTTTTAAAAGTTCCATGAACACGTAAAAAAAAAAAAAAAAGAGTAAATTTTTTTTTTTGACAAAGTGAATACTTTTGGCAATATAGAATATAATCCGACATGCAGTTATATTGTAGAAATGTTATTGTACTGCTGATAGAAGTGATTTCATCTTACCTTCCCAAGTCTTTACAAAAGGCAACAATCTCCAGGTTCTGGGCATCTTGCTCCTCCAGCACATTGTTCTTCACCAAACCTTTGCCCTTACCCTAACAAAGCAAAGGAGTCACAGAATAATGAACACAAGAACTATTAAAAGAAAAACACAACAGATAAACATAGGAAAAAAATCAAATTTGGCAAAACTAAAAAATTGGTGGTCGGCCGTTAACACCAGACTCCTATCGGGTGATAAAAAAAATTTGATGTTAATCTATTCTCAAAGTTGGTTTGGGAGCTGGGTCTATAGCTATGACTTAGCACTGATGTATATCTGGGGGGGTTGAACAAATCAGTCTTGTGTGTAGGCCTACTGCTAACACATCAAATGTGACGTGTCAACATGGAAGCAGCTATAAACCCCCTAGGTTTGCTTAAGAGAAAATTTATTTTTAAGAATGACCATGGCGACAAGCTTGTTCTCCAGGTGGCTACAGTTGACCCATGTAACTAACTACCTGCGAGGCGACCTATCATGAGGAGAATACATGACCAGCACACCGTAGAGAAAGCTGCTAAAGATGAGAAGTTGGTTGAGGCGACATGTTTAGCACTAATGGGGCACCACTGGACATCTATCTATAATGACAACTACCTCGCTGATACTGTACACCTCATCGATGCCAGCTGGAAACTTCACTCCTTCGCTTTAAGTGGCAGATGTTATATAATTTTAAATTACATTTAACCACGAATGATTCCCACAACATTATGTTTTCTTCTTGATGATTGCTTTGGTGAATGTGGGTAAATTGGGACGCTTTTTGAAAATGTTGGGTTAGTGGTACTATGTGATGCAAACAGGAGATGAGGCTGTGGTCTAATGTGCCACCTGGCTTCAAAAACCTGTTCAAAGACTTACTTTTACTTATCATTTAGGTAGCACAATCCTCATCTTATTTTATTCTCATCCTTATCTTATTTTCTTCTTGTGCTAATCTGATTTTAATTGTATCCTTATCTTATGTTATTCTTACTTGTATTACAATCTTATATTTCCCTCTTCTAGGGATTAATAAAGTAATTCTGATTGTTATTCATGAATCCCTTTGGCAGAATTCAAATGAGCCATTTTAATCTAGATTAATTCCAAGATTATGGTGAGATTAATCTAGATTTAAAAAAAAAAAATCTATGTCGACCTCTATGAAAAATACATATTTATTTAATGACCTAAAGTAAACACTTACATAAACATATATATCTACATTCATAGGGCAAAGTTGGTCAATGTCAGAGGAGCTTTAATGCTTAAAAGACAGATGAAGAGGAATGTTTTATTAAAACTTCCTTAACGCGATAAATCCTACAGAGTGAACAACACATCAGGAATAATTATTATTTTACACACTTCAGATCTTTTTTGTTAGAATCTTTTGGAGTGACCAAGACTTAGCCTAACAATTTCTGGGTGTGTATTTTCTTCTAAATTACAGCTCTAAAGATGTTAATACAATAAAGCAGCACTCAAATAAAAGATTCAGAAATTTAGAACATTTGCACATTCATACAAAGAGTAATTAATCCTAAAACAGCTCTGTTTAAGATTTACTCTAAGAAATTCTTGGAGGCTAGAAATCATTACTACTTTCTGACTGTTACTGCTGTCTGGAATGTGCTTCCTGTGGCAAAGGAAATGAGAAGTGTAGGCTCCGCCCCTTCCTGCTACTGGCTCTGGATTGTCTGCAAAAGTGTTTAGTCACAGCTTGAAAATCTGTCTGACACCATCCCAAATGAGCCGGAGAGAGCAGCAAAGACAGAGGAGTGGATGAAACAAACATGCAGAATGTTGATAGTGGTTTGCTCCTTGTTTAGACTCTCATTAGGTTCACTTAGAGCTCAAAAAAATGGCCAAAATATACAACTGGTAACTGGCCTCACCATGAAAGGGTTAGAGAACTAAAAATAAAAGTAGTAGCTTCAGAATCTAATTTTCCACAGTGTTCTCTATTCCCTTATAAGTGATAAAAATGAGGCATTTTGGAGAGGAAGGCCTCAAAGGCCTTCCTGTCAGGCTTTATCTTGTTTTTATTTCTGTATAATCAAATCACAGAGAGCAGATCTTATGGCAACCAATTACCAAAAGTAGAAAGCTATGAATACGCAATGTTTCTATTACAGGATGAATGGGCAGAGAAAATCTATTCAAAGCATGATTAGTGAGCAGCAAATACTGATGAAGAACAGTTTGGGTAAAGACATGTTTACTCCACGGATGGATTCACACCATGCAAATCATTTGGTCCATTTGTGTGGTGGGGTCTAATGCAAACTTTATTTTACTTTCATTTGGTAAGGTTATTTTCACTCGTTTCTCCACCTGGACAGAAATGACTTTTAAGACATTTGAATTTAAATTCTTGACAGGAGTCTGTGAATGCACGCTGCAAGATCAACTCTGGCCTTTTTGAAATTGACCAAACATAGGAGGTGTGAATAAACCCAGAGAGCCAGAAACACAATCAACAGCAAGCAAACAGGTTGAAAAAAATTTGAGTAATGTAATCTCAGTGTAATGACTGCTGGATGACAGCAGACAGGTTTTCGCATCCAAAAACTGTTTTGGCTGTAATAATGGCTGCAGCGGCACAAACAGACTCAGGGAAGGTTCAATTACGATTACTAAATTGGTTGAAGATTATATCAATAATCAATTAATCACAATGAATCTGATTAATTGCTTCACCCCTAATTCCGGGGCCCTTTCCTTTTTAATATCAACATGCTATTCCTAGCTCAGATCATAGCAAACAAGAATATAACTATGCAGAGGACACACAGTTTTACATCACAATGTCACCAGGTGACTATAAACCCATCAGAGCATTGTCTAGATGCAAAGAACAGATCAATATGTGGATGAGCTATAACTTTCTCCAACTGAAAAAAAAAGGAGGAGAGATCCAGAGTTATCTCACACTTTCAGATACTACAGCTAGAAACCATTGATTACTCTTTGTGTCATGATGTACTCAGACATGAGGTAAAATAAAAGCACATAAAGGCAGCTACTAAGTCAGTATTTTATCACCTGAAGAACATTTCCAGGATTAAATGACTAATGTCTATGCAAGATCCCACATAACTCTTACATGCATTTATCTTTAGTAGAACTGATCATTGCAACAGTGTCTTTGTAGAAATCCATCAGACAGCTGCGGCTGATCCAAAACGCTTCTGCCAGTGTTCTCACTAGAGCTAAGAAAGTAGAGCACATCAGCCCAGTTCTGAAGTCCTTCTACTGGTTCCCTGTAGCTCAGAAAACAGATTTTACAATCATCCTGATAGTCTATAAATCACTGAATGGATCAGAGATTTGATTATAACAGATTTGTGGTCAGTGGTTCAACCTCCCAGACCACTCAGGTCTTCTAGTTCCAGCCTACCCTGTCCACCCAGAACTAGAACCAAACATGGAGAAGCAGAGTTTAGTCCCTTTGTTCCAATTATCTAGACCAAAGGTCTAGAAGACTGGAAAAAGTGCTAAAAAGCCTGAAGTTTTTTTGCTTTGTGTTTCTGATAGTTAACAACGGCTGTAAGAACAGTGGAAAAAAAAATTTTTTTAATAATTTTTGGTATGAATCGATGTAGGGATAATATCAGAATCTATTCAGAATTGGAAAATCTTTTGCAAGAGACTCAGACCTAACTGAAACGTGACAAAATGGGAGAAAAAAAAAAATCTTGCAGAACAAGACGTCTATGTGACGGGCAGCCACAGAAAGCAACACAGGCGGAGAAAAGGGGAAAAAAGGGAGAGAGCAGTTAAAAAAATATAGGATCAGTAGGAGCAACAAAATACCAGGATGGCAGTACTTTAAAGGTGTCACTATAAGTTAGAAGGAAGCGTCTCTGTTCTAAACATTAATCTGCTGCTCGACACTAAGTAGGAATGTGGCATGTCCAGAGCGATGAGAACAGCTCCTTTAGATTCACACATTGTGACTAAACCGTCATCTTTTCTCTCCACATCCGATATTGTGTCAGAACCCAGACTGTAACACCGGGAACACGCTGTGCAATGCGAAGGAAGATTAGTCATTTGACCGGAACAGACGTCATATGAGCCAATCTAAACGAGCAGATTTTTACACATCATCAATCTTGGCATCAACCATCTCATCATTGTTTATGACTGATAGAATCCTGTTTCAGGTTTTGTTATGTGATTGAATATTTTCCTGCTTTAGAGGGATGTGAGCATCCTCTCTGTATAAACAAAGGAAGGGGAATGCAAGTTCAAATAAAGACAAGTATTAGAATCAATATTCGCTTCAAAGGCGTTCCTGAACACATCATCACTGTGAAAGATACGGACATGAAGTTTGATTTTTAATTTTTTCAAATGTCACTTGTCAACTGAGTAGAAAACGTTTAGGTTTTCAATCTAAAGCATATCTGAAATTTATAATCCTACCAGTTTTTAGTCTGCAGTGTTTTTAAAAATTCAACTATGTAAAAATAGGAAATGTAATTTCAATATATGGCTATTTTATGAAAGACATATTGCTAAAGTAAGCTTCATACCCTTTTTGAAATAATAAACTACATATATTTTACTATTTCAATTTCAAACCTTGTCCTCAGTACTGAAGTTACTCTCTTCTAGTCAGATAAGAGAGCAGCGATAAAAAAACAAAAAACATTTTACACCTGCCAATGGTGCTGGCATTAAAACAGACCTTATTACTGTAAACAAACTAAATTCTTATCAGGAAAGGATTGTTAAATTCTGTTCTAAAGTGAGAGATAATCAATAACAGAACAAATATGTTGAACAAAAATGTTAAACAAATGACACAAATGTTCAACTATTCCTGGTATTTTTTTCTGGGTCGACTCAACCTTTTAGTCCACTGAAGACAACTCTTGTGCAACTCCTCAGCCAATCTGAGAAATGACACAATATCACTTTATTGGCCGCTTTCCTGTGAAAACATAACATCTATGAGTTGTTTTTTTTGTTTTTTGCCGCACACATTTTCAGCTCATCAAACTGATTTTGATACAAATAAAGATAACATGGGTACATAAATTAAAAACAGTCTTC